AGTGAGGTGTGACTTTGAAGATTTAAATCTGGAGTTATACTCAAACTCAGTTTTATAATTACACAATACTTTTATTTTTCAAACTATTTTGATTAATTTAGATTAAATATGTAACACAATAACTAATAATTTATGATGCAAACCACAAACGTTGGATTTTATCTCACTCAATTTGATGGAATCCATTATACGAGGCATTAACTTTAGCTTTCAGCAACCCATCAATCTAGCAGCAATTTGAAGAGTTAAACACTACATTTTTAATCTCGTTTTTTATGATTAAAATCTGGTAAATGATTGGAAAGGAATTGGAAGGATTCATTTCCCGCGGATAATTACAAGGCACGACATTTATCGTCGTAAAAAATCGATTTCGGTTTCGATTCGAAGTGGATCATTTCTCGAAAAGCTCCACCAATTTTCGTTAATATTCATTCGGTCGTCGCGAAGGGATCCGCCTCTTCCTGCGTTTTACATCTTCGGATTGCCCCCCTGTTTAATTTTCCCAGCTGCTGTCTCGAACCGAGACCGAAGTCGTAAAATTCAACTCCTTTTTTGGACTTAAAGCTTTCTATACACGGTCCTATTCAAATTCGTTGATAATTTACAGATTTTTTTGGTCACGTACTGTTAGGTAATAAAAAAGGATACTGATATACAATCGATTTTATAAAAATAAGTTGATTAAAAAATTAATATTGAATGTTGGAGTAATTTGGTTTAATTATATCAAATGGTGAATTATATCAAAGTATGTTTATACGAGAATTTATAAAACGAAAGGCTATTATTATTGTTATGATCAGTAAACGACCTGCTGGCCTCTTCACTTTCATCTCTCTCTCTATCTTCATCTGTGGTCCTCGTGCTACATCTTGAAGAGGATAGTCGCCCCTACCACCATGCCCCATCATCACAACAACAACAACAACAGGCTGTTACTCTCCGATTTCCGGGATACCCAACAGCAAACGAACAGTTTGTGAACGGGATCGGTTCGTTCTTGCAGATGATTGTGTGCCGTCCGGACGAGAGAGTGCCAGTTCGGTCCCCCGACCGTATGGGGGCGCTTTGGCCCCGGTTAGCCGGCAGGCAAAACCTTTCTGGGTGGTCCACCGTGTGGTCTACATCGTGTGGGGCCCTCGATGCCTGCTGCTGCATCACCTCTCTTCCGCCGCCCTCCTTCTCTCCTCTTTTCCTTCACCTCTTCTTCTTCTTCGGGCTCGGCAAGATTGCCCTTCACCCCGCAAACGAACCCGCAGGACCGGGTTTCGTTCAACATTTTTAGATTATTCATAGAAAAAAAAATTAATAATATTAATGTCAATAAATTATCATTATGGTGATTATAATTATTTGATTTTTTAAGTTCAATCCATTCACTATTGAATTGAAAGTTAACTTTAAGGCCTTTCTCTTTGCTCCAGAAAACGAAGCCTAGTCTCAACATACAATTATAACAATCGGAAGTGAGAGGGTTCCTCTCTTTTCAGTAAAAGACTAAACTACGTCTTCGTTTGAGCACAGCTGCGGCAGTTGTGTTGAACGTGACATTGACCAAGCAAGAACGATGATGATTCCGAATTCTAGTTCACCAGTTTACTTATTTATCGCACGTCGAGGTCGCTTGCCATCTGACTCAATAAATTCCCGCTATTTTAAATCGAATAATTGAACAGATGTGACAATTAAGAAAAAAGCAAATAATTCGAATTGATTTTATTATGGAAAAAAATACATTTCGTTTTTTTATGTTGGTTTTCGATTTAATTTAAATTAAATTAAAACTTTTTACAATTTGTCGATACTTATTTCGTTTTTCTACTTTATTTTTTCTCTCTATACACAATATAGATAATTAAAAACAATATAAATAATTAATACGATTACTATGTACAAAGAAAAATTAGATTAAGATTTGTACATAAATAAGAAAATAATTTGTTTGTTACATTATTTCATTATTTCCCTATTTTTTTATATTAAGTAGTTTTTCGTGGGTCTCGTTTTAATAAATACATACTTATCAAGCTAGAGAGGGTTACAAACCCTGTATACAGCAAAGGCAATAAATTAAAGCGATATACAGCTTGTAGACACCTCTTTGGTCACGATTTTTTGTTGCGTTCTTTTTGTGTACTGAAATAGTTAGTGTAACCGGAAGAAGGTAACTAAGTAAACTTTAAATTATTTTTTCATGATCTTTTCAATTAATAACACAAGTTTACAAATATATGACATGAGAAAGAAATTTTTGAATTATTTATATTAAGAATATTGAGAATCGATATTTTGTAATTATTGGATAAATTTAAAAAATTATATCTTAAGAACAATTTGAGATATAATGATGAAATACATAACATTTTACAGCAAATTTAACGTGCCATAAATAAATTCTCAATTGGCGTAAACATCGATGTTGTGATTTTTTCAAACTCAACTCTGTTTTTGATTGTTTAAGTTTTGAAGATTTGAAATTTATCACATCATATCTTAAGAACGAATTGACATAAAACGATGAGATAATCAACATTTTGAATATATAATATATTGATTCATGATATGATTATTTAAACCCAACATGCAGAGTTTCATTTGATTGTAACAATCAGAAGAATAAAAATTTAAAACGTTGTATCTCAAGAACGATTTGAGATATAATGATGAAATACATAACATTTTAAAGCAAATTTAATGGAGATTTAATGTGCTATAAATAAATTCTCAATTGGCATAAACATTGATGTTGTGATTTTTTCAACTCAACTTTGTTTTTGATTAAGTTTTGATGATTTGAAATTTAAAACATCATATCTTAAGAACGAATTGAGATTTAACGATGAGATAACCAACATTTTGAAGTAAATTTAATGACGATTAAATGGGTCATAAATAATTTCTTATTTTCCAGAATCCATGATATGATTATTTAAACCCAACATGCAGAGTTTCATTTAATTGTAACAATCTGAAGAATAAACATTTAAAACGTTGTATCTCAAGAACGATTTGAGATACAATGTTGTAGATTTAACATGCAATAAATAAATCCTCAATTGGCATAAACATCGATGTTATGATTTTTTAAACCTAACTGTCTATGTTTAATTATTCAAAATTTGAAGAATCTAAATTTAAAAAATCGTATCTCAAGAACGAAATAAGATATAATGATGAGATAACCAACATTTTCAAGTAAATATAAAGAAGATTGAATATGCCATAAATAGATCTTCAATTGGTATAAACATCGACGTTACGATTTTTTGAACACAACTCTGTATGTTCGATTGTTCAACATTTGAAAAATCGAAGTTTAAAACATCGTATCTCACGAACAAATTGAGATAAAATGATGAGATAGCAAACATCTTGAAGTAAATTTAATGAAGATTTAATCTATCAAAAATAATTTCTTATTTTGCATAAACATGGATGTTATGATTTTTTATTCAAGATATGAAGAATCGAAATTAAAAAGTCGTATCTCAAGAACAAATTATGATATAATGATGAGATAACCAACATTTTGAAGTAAATGTAATAAAGATTGAAGGTGCCATAAATAAATCTTCAATTGGTATAAACATCGACGTTATGATTTTTTGAATTCAACTCTGTATGTTTGATTGTTCAAGATTTGAAAAATCGAAGTTTAAGACATTGTATCTCACGAACAAATTGAGATAAAATAATGAGATAGCAAACATCTTCAAGTAAATTTAATGAAGATTTAATCTATCAAAAATAATTTCTTATTTTGCTTAAACATGGATGTTATAATTTTTTATTCAAGATATGAAGAATCGAAATTAAAAAGTCGTATCTCAAGAACAAATTATGATATAATGATGAGATAACCAACATTTTGAAGTAAATGTAATGAAGATTGAATGTGCCATAAATAGATCTTCAATTGGTGTAAACATCGACGTTATGATTTTTTGAAACCAACACTGCATGTTCGATTGTTCAAGATTTGAAGAATTGAAGTTTAAGACATCGTATCTCACGAACAAATTGAGATAAAATGATGAGATAGCAAACATCTTGAAGTAAATTTAATGAAGATTTAATCTATCAAAAATAATTTCTTACTTTGCATAAAGATCGATGTTATGGTTCTTTTACTCAACATTCAGTATTGAAATTGATGGTTACAGATCTGAAAAATAAAAATTTAAAACAATGTATCTCAAGAACGAATTGAGATATAATGATGAAATAACGAACATTTTGAAGAAAATTTAATGAAGATTTAATATATCATAGATAATTTCTTATTTTCTATAAACATGGGTGTTATGATTTTTTAAATACAACACTGCATGTTAAATTGTCCAAATTTTGAAAAATGTAAATTTAAAATTGCGTATCTTAAGAACGATTTGAGATATTATGATGAAATAAAAAATATTTTAAAGCAAATTTAATTAAGATTAAATGTGCCGTAAATAATTTCTTAATTTCCATAAACATCCATGTTATGATTGTTTAAATCCAACTCTGCATGCTTGGTTGCCCAAAATTCAAATATAATGGTAAAAATTTTGAATAAATTTAATAAAAAATTACATAAATATCGATTTTGAAATTCATAAAACTTTTTTAAGACAAATTAAATTCTAAGCAGATAACGAAAACCTATTAAATCGTGCCTAAAACCATGTAAACTTGTGTAATCATCGTGGTAAACATTAGGAACTATTTAAATATTCAGCTGTCTACCCGTCGACTTTGGTAATAAAAAAATTAGTTAATAGTTTAAATTTTTTCTTAAAAATGTGTTTGAAGATTTTAAATTAAAAATATTTCGTTAAAAACAAATAAACAGGAACTTTATAATTTGTTTAAGAATACTGTTTAAGAAAAATAAATATTATTAATTTCTTAATTTAAAACCTCCAATTTTTTTTTAATTATCTTTCATTAATTTTTATTAACAAATTTGAACTATAGGTTACTTTTTTTTAAATCCTCTTCAGTTTCTTCTTAATTTTCTTCATCTTCACCTTTTTAAATTATTAAAAACATGAAGCGAATACTGATTGCAAAAAAATAATGAGGTAGCTTCCGATAAAAATGCTCTAAACTATCGGAAAACATCGAAATCACGAAGCACACCACACAATCACTGAAAATAATGTTACCAACACGTAACTCATGCGTAACGTCGTCGCGTAATTTCCTGTTCGGAAAGTTTTTATATCGTTCGTGAACACATCACCTCTCACCACAGGTTCAGTCACGTGTACTGCAACCTCTTTGTTATTATTATTATTACTCGTTACATTTCCGTGCATATGATGTATTTTATTATGGACCCTATGATCACCGTTATGATCACTCTTATGACCACCTCGCGACCCTTTGTTATCATCGTGATGTTTTGAATGATGGTGCTGTTCCTTCCGTTTTTCCTCTTTATTTCCGTTATTTCCTTTGGGTTTATTTGGTTTACGTATACAAAGTTTTTCGCGGTTGTGTTGCGCTCTTAAACATTCCATGATGTTGGGACCGTCGCAAACGCAATTTTTCAGTTTTTGCGCTTTTATTTGACGCTGTAAGATGTAAAGGGAATTTTTACAACGTTTTGTACACTTTCGTCCGGTGAACATTGATTTACAATAGTTTTCGTAATAATCGAATGCTGCTGAACATGCCGGATCTGCTTGGCAGATCATTCGAGCCACGTCGCAAGTTACTATTGTGTCGTCATGGTGGGCGATCATTACTTGTTGTCGACAGACTTCAACTCGTTGTTTTGTATCTTCACAGTACTCGTCGTTGCAATCACACTAAAAAAGAAAGAAAAATTTTTGTTAGATATGGAGAAAATGTCTGTACAACAAATTAAGATTATATCTTGGGTATGTGGGAAAGAATATTAATCAGGAAGTTTAATTAAATTTAATTAGTCACTACAAGATCTCAAATTGGTGGAATAACGTTAAAACGGGAAGAAATTCTATGAAGATGTAATGATGAATCTTTCTCATAAGTATTAATTTATTGATCAATTCAGCTCATTAATTGCTTTATAAAGTTGTCCATTTTAAACTGTTTGCCATTGAAATAATTTTGACTTGCTATTATTAAGAAAATTTTTTTCTCCAAAACGGTTTGGAATTAAACAATAAAACTTTTTGACGTTATTGCATTATATTTAAAGTTATCTTGGACAAAATTTTAAGTTTCCTTGGTGAAGGGTTTTAGTTATAAAAATATTTAATAATCACTGACTTCAATTTGATGGTTTTTGAAAATAAGGTTAAAGCAGAAATCTTTTTTCTCGATAACGGTTTAGAATTCAGAAGTAAAACTTTTTGTCATTATAGCAGAATGTTTTCTGTTATGTTACATAAAATTATATGTTTCCAGGTTGAGCAGTTTTTTCACAAAAAAATTAATAAATCGCCACTTTAAATTTGGTATTTTTTGACACTTTGACTGTTATCTCCAAAACGATTTGGAATCCAGAAATGAAACTTTTTGCCATTATAGCAGAATGTTTGGTGTTATGTTACGCAATATTATATGATTTCAGGTTGAACAGTTTTCAAAATGATTACAAAAATTTTTTTCTCCAGGTAGATTTGGAATCCAGAAATGAAACTATTTGCCATTACAGCAAAACGTTTGAGGTTGGCTTTCAAAAAATTTTATACTACCTGAAGGAACAGTTTCTTTTAAAAAAATTTTGAAAAATCAATTATTTTAATTTGATGGTTTTCGAAAATATGATTAAAGAAGGCATTCTTTTCTTCGAAATCGATTAGAATTGAAACATACAATCACTTTGAAGCTAAAATAAATTGTTTGAGGTTAGGTTATACCAATTTTTAAGGTTCAAAGTTTCTTTACAAAAGTATTTATATGTATTTTTCTCCAAAATGGTTTCGAATAAAGAAATGGAACGGCGTTATTTATTGACTTGACAATTTGATTTTAGATGTACTGAATGATCAATTTTGTAAGTAATAGCAATTTATAAGTCTATGGATATTAAATCAAATTAAAAATCAATGCCTTTGTATTGATCTTTATCTTATGAATAACTAAGATGATATCTAAGATGATATATGATATCTTATAAATAACTTATGAACTATTGAATAACAACAATGAGAGACGTATGGGTATCTACTTCTATATCCGCTCAGAAATCATTGATATCGATCATTCTCGAAGCTTCGAGAGAAAATCAGACTTCTATGGAATATTCTGAAACGTTCAATGTAAAACAAAAGGTGCAATCAATGCAACATTATGATATGAAGATATTTCTGCTTTGATTTATGCTGTTCCGACTCCCAGCCGACTCTCATGTAGTCCACGCAGTTCTGGCGGTATTGCTGTTAGAAGATATACCAAATTTGTATTGCTAAAGTTATTGTGTTAGTTATCATACTAGAAATCGCTAACAACCGAGCAGCAATAAGTATACATCGTTCTCTTCTCACAACGTAACACTCTGTTTGGATACATCAACTCGAATCCTACAAATAGAGGAATGAATACAATGAATGAAAATGACAACGAATACTGATCGGGGAAATACCTCTTTACATCACCAAGGTATTTTGACAATTGTCAAGTAGAGCCAACACTGCATTTACTCACTGCAACTTCTGAAGAGCTTTGACTATCTGAGAAGAGCTTTATTGAAATGTTGTCTAAACAAAACTAGAATCGTGGTCACACAATTAATGTGTTCGTCACCGATTACTTTGCATTTAAGTTGATCGATTCCCGATCTTTACCTGCACTTGCTTGAATTTCTTAACAATAACATTTACAAACTCGGCACTAATAATTTTGCGTCAACACACCCCCAGTCTAAGCCAGTTCTGAGTTGATGGTTGTATGTCGGTCAAAGGGCAAAGTGCAATGATGAACTTCAACTGAAGACTAGGCTAGGAGACTAACCTAGAATGATATAAGTCAAAAACCGTTTTACCTCGTCTGGACTCTTTACTTCAATTCAAAGGAAAGAAAACGAACTTGAAAAAAAAATCAGACTTTTGGTTTGCATGTCCAGGAAAGTTTTCTAAATATCTGCTACGGATTGTGCATTACACATCATATTGTATTGTATTTTGAGTTCACTAAAACGCGAAATATTTTGTTTTGGAATGTTTATATTATAATTCATGTTAGAGTCTGGTGTGGTATTGCTCTGTACAAGACAAGCATAGGTGATTATATGTATGATCAAGGATTTCCATAGTCAAAGGATACATTTTGTTGTGAGTCTTTGGTTAAATTAAACTTCCGGGTATTTGCTAGCTTTGTGTTTGGCATTCCTGTGTATGTGAAAGTTGTTTATTATAATGCAAGGTAAAGTAGAAAAAAAAATAGTTTTGCATTTCTTTATGTTTATTGAAATTGTCTACTTTCTTAACAATTTATCACTTGGATTTTCCGATTTCTGTCATACCTCAATTGTTTCAAGTAAAATTTGTTTTGTGCTATGATTAACCTATCATAACACTTATCTCTCTACATGGCTAGTTCAGAGATTGCCTCGATAGTGGATATTATCCAAATTATTAAGAAACAATGTGGAATGGAGTGGATGCAACCTATTTTTAGTTTTATAAAAAAAAACATAGTTTAACCAACAATATATGTTATTTTGACTGCGTAAGTTAATTTTTTATATCCCTATATTTCCTATAAAAAAATCAATTAACTTATCTTATACCATTGGGGCAGTTACACTTTTTTTTATTGGCTTATTCGATAGTTTAGCAAAATTGAACACTTCTATAATTTTTAATTTTTCAGTCTGGGCTTTAGTTTTTCCAAAAAAAATTATAAAAATTTGAAAAAACTTTGGAGACGTCATCGTCGTTTGCACGCGGTTGGTTGAAATAAAAATCAATGAAAGGTGCATGAGCGAGATGCCACGAGAATCTTATGCGTTAGAAGAAGAGATCCGAAGGATGCACGTTTGTGTCTTCTTGATCTTACGCGAAAACATCGTAAACGTCACCAAAGCTTTAATCTCCGTCTTCGTCTTTCTATTCGACTAATTCTAACAGCTACATTTTGAACAATTCCACTCCAGTTGTTATAATTTCTTATCTCACCATAAATTATACAATTCTTACAATAAATAATCGAAAGATGTACCGGATGCGTGTTTAAACATTAAAATTAGAACTGAACACAGCGATGAATCTACTTCTTATCAGAATTAGCAAAAATGGCCTCGATTAGTGCTAAAAACAGATGGTTATTGAAACTTTGTTCTATATTAGACGAAGGTGTGAAAAATCTAACAGAAATTCCTCAACAATACTTTTCAAAATTAGTATCGATGGCGATAAATGTATTGATCTTGTTAAAGTTTGGTGATAAAATCATAAAAAATTATTTTGGAGTTGAAAAGTCATTAAAGTATTTTGAAGTTCTTTAAGTGACGCAAAATCTCTTTAATGTTCCCGTTATCACCGTAAAAGTTTATTTTATAGCGTGTTTTTAGTTAACTAATCAGATATCGCCAATTAAATTAACTATTTGTTTTCTGCCTCGATTATTATTAACATTTGTTTGTGTCTTTTTGTATGATTTGACAATATGAGAATTTGGACTATTTTCCATAAAAATAGAAAGTAACCAATGTTTTTTTCTAAAAGACGTTTTGTGCGCTATGAATTCATCATTAGATATTCGGTGTAATATTTTTTGTTATAAATGTGTGGATGCAAAGAATTTTCCAAGTAATCAACAAATATTGTTATCCTCATCAGAAATGGTTTATGTTTCATTTACATCTAGCGTTGGAATTATTTTATGTTTCTGTAATAAAATATTACAGTAATATTTTTGTTGTGGTTTTCCATAGTTGAAATTTATGATGTGTTTTGAACAAATATAAAAGTTTTTTGTAAAACTTCATATAATTACTTCTTTCATATTTGAATTGAGCAAGCGGATTGATGTATCTCTGAATAATTAGCAAGATAAAATTTCTAGATAGCTGCAGTAGTTAATACAACATCAACATTGAGTTGGTTAACAGTTGTTTGCCCTTTCCACGTGGCAACGGAGGAAAGGGAAAACAACTATTGTTTGGCAATTGACAACTATTGATTGGCAGGATGAGGGCGAAAGGTGGTCTAGACTGCAGGGAGAAAATCGAAACGTTGGACCACTTGTTGATGGGATGCAGCGAGTTAAGGAAGAAGGCGATGGACTGGAGGCAGATTTTGAGAGATGTGGCTTATTAATTAGTTAATTAAGTTGGTTAACTGATACAGCAGCATTTTGGCCTTGGCTTAATCAAGCATGGTACTCTTTGTTCAAAGTTAATACATATAGCAGCGCTTTATCAATATATGATGATGGGTTAATTGTGAATGAAGAATATATGATTTCGCATGATTAAGACGAGGTCGTTTATGGTCGAGGTGCTGTAAGGTCTCTTTCTGCTAATTTTATATCAAGGCAGCGGCTCTGCTTAACTGGCAACGAAGAATGTATGATTTCACTTTATTACCTGGAGTCACTGGAATTGATACCATATCGGTAGAATATTAGACAATCTATATTGCAGCACCTCGTCCGCATGCGACCTCGAGCTTAACTTTGTACAAAGACAGTATGATGATTGATTAAACGGAGGTGTTGCAGTTAATGTAATAACAACTCTAAGTAGAATAACTGACCCGCGACATCGGCATGTGGTAGATGCACTCCCAGCTTAATTAATGTTGGAGAATGTATGATTTTTCCTTGTTAACCCAAGACACTGCAATTGTAGTAAGTTTTTCACCAAAATACAATTTTATGGAATTTAATCCTAATAGTTTTTGTAACGAAAGTTGCATAAAAAGTATTTCAAATGTGCATCATTAAATTAATCTTGAAGCCTCTTCAACTTTTAATTCGCCGATTAATTAGGAGATATGCATATCCCAAAAAAATATTTGATTAACTGATACTGGTAATATTGTATATGATCGTTAGGTTACTTGGAAAATAAGTGTGCATTAGAAGATCGTATCCGCTTCAGTGAGCGTTTAATCAGTGTCTGGACTAAAAGTTTCAAAATTCTTACGGTTCTTTTGGCCTTTTGACCAAGTCTTTCTCCGTTATAATTTTTTGCCTTCGGTCTCCTCACTCATTTATTTTAATGAAACTATTTTAATTTCGTCATAATCTTCAAGAGTGCTAGGTTTAGATGTAGTATTTGTAAACCGCTTAGTTCAATAAAAAAATAATTGAGAATGAAAAAAAGTGAAAATAGATCATGAATGATAATATGGATAAGCCATATCTGAATTATAAGATGATAATGGAAAAAATACAGTCTCGTAAACTGTATCCGTTATTTTTCTTAGGCCCTCTGATAAATGGCGCCTAGATATTCAGTAATAAAAGCGCCACTGCATCTCAATACAATAATTAATTTCTATATTTAAATATTTAATTTTAAAGTAATTATTCCTTATTAATTCAAATCTGCAAATATTATTTCTTTAAAATAGTATCGTGGCAGTGTAGAGTTCACAAATCATTTTGGAACTGTCCCATTTATTCCTTCATCATTCATTCTGTCTAAATAAATTGCCATCTAAATTTATGCGTAATTACCATGCTTACTATTTTTAAACCAAAACGCGAAGCCAAAATTTGCCAAAAAACCTTCAAAAATGACACAAAAAAATCGTGCTCTTAATATTACACAACGCCGTCTTTTATCTGGTTCGGTGCTTATCTGAACGGTGACCTACGCATTTTATTTATAGTTTTTGATGAATCGACTCACGTAGATACCAAGGAAACTCCATACGTCTGCATTATTTTTATATCTTTATTATTATTAATCAAATTAAGTAATCTTAATACGTTAAAGTAGAAATAATAAAAACTTACTGTCATTAGTGCTTTTCCTTCTTCAGTTGACGTTAAAGCTATTAGTGCATTCTTGCAGACATCCGGACATCTCGAGATCACCATTCCTCTTAAAACAGCAGAACATCCCGACATGTAAGTGTGTAGTGCATTTCCGCATCCTTCGCGTTGAGCGCATCGAAATCTTGCTTCTTCGCACGGTGTGGTCGTCATCGACGCGACACTTCTCAGTGTCATGGTCAGTAGCATTATCCACCACATAACTAAAAAATGATAAAAAAAAATTTAAAAACATCAATTAAAAAATAATAAAAATAAATTAATTACTAACTAAATCAATTTTGAAGTTAATAATGGATGTCTTTTTATAGAATATGTTCGGTGGACTCAGAGGTTCACATAACCACCACAGCTGATTCAAAATTCGCAACTGAACCAAAGTCGGAGTGCTTACTTTGGACCTCGAAAAATAATATGAACGTATACGTGACTGGAAGCATGCAATCATTTACCCAGTACACTTACCAGCTTTATGCATTAATAAATTATATACATACAAGTGGTACTATCGCAAAGTTAGCAATTCGCGACGTCACGTTATGTTAGACAATTAAACCATTTGACCGTTAGACAATTAAAAATAAAGAAAAACTTTCTCTTGAACAAATTTAGTGGGTTAAGCAAAGTTGCCAAATTATATTAACGACAGAGTTACGTATTAAATTTAAATTCCTAGATAAAATTTAATCTCAAAAATAATATTAATAAAGAAAATCAAATAAGAATTAAAACACAAATAGTACTTATTAACTTATTTACTTTTCAAATTGTCAAACACACTGGAACGTTGTTAACTAAACTTGTTAACTGAAAGATAAGCGAATACGCAAAGAAATTTTTTCAAAAATTAAAATTGTTCACAGACACTTTTTATTTATTATCTTTATTTATTATTATTGTTGCAATTACGTTAACGCTATAATTAACTCCTCATAACAATCTTCACTGATGGCATTTTGTTCTCGTCATAAACAAACCGACTGCTGGTCTGAGTCTTTATCCCACAATGCTTCTTATTGTACTTTTGAAAATACTATAATTTATCTCTACTATTTAGATAAGCAGACGTTTGCAGTGGTTGACTTTAAAAACTCCTATCTATAACATCCATTAGTTTTGGAGTTTATTTTGAACTGGATGGGATTTTATCAATAAGAGTTTTTAAATGAGTTACTTAAACCAGTTTGTGTGCGCAATCGTTTTGGTATTTAAAGTGTTCTTAGAATTTTTATTTTGTTTTAATATGGTTTAAGATTTTAAGTTACGGGTTAAATGTTTTTGAGGGGTTCAAGAGAACTACTTAAAGTTGTTGAACTTGATTGTTCCACTTATAATCTTTTAACAACTGTATTTATAGAAATATTGAAACGTATTATATGTGAAATTCTAAAAACATCATAAATAATTAAAGTGGGTTTTAATAGCAACATTTATCAATGTTGAGAGAAAGATAATATATATAAAAAATGTTCATAATGAACCAAAAAACTTTATCTATAATCAATTCAAGTAATGCAAGGATTTTCTGAGAACAAAACATTAATTGCAAAAATAATAATAAAAAAATAAAATATAATAATTGCTCAAAAACTAAAAGGGAAAAAGAAAGATATGCATGAAAATTGTTCATAATGGTCCATAATAACTTTTTCCATAATCAGGTTTAGTCATGTTATTCACATTAGTTAGAAACAAAACGGTTAATTGCAAAAATATTTATATTGAAAGTTTTCAATACAACTATAAATCATTACTCAAAAACTAAATGCAGAAAGATGTTATTCATCAAAATTGTTTGTAACAATCCAAGAAAGCTTTATCCATAATCATTTTAAGTGTCATCATCATGTTATTAGATTTTTAGGAATAAAACGTTAATTGTCAAAATATTAAAATGGAAGATTTTCAGTATAAATATTAATCATTGCTCAAGAACCAAAAGGGATGAAGAATGATGATATGCATAAAAATTGTACTTTATTATTCAAAAAAGCCTGATCTATAATCACTTTAAGTTATACTACAAAATTCTTTTTAGGGACAAAACTTTAATTGCGAAAATATTAAAATGTAAGGTTTTCAACATAAACATTAATCATGGCTCAAAAATTAAATGGGATGGAGAAAGATGTTGTGCATAAAAATTGTTCATAATGATCCAAAAAAACTTTATTTATAATCAACTTCAATCATGCTATTTAGATTACTTAGAAATAAAACGTTAATTGCCAAAATGTTAATATTGAAGGTTTTCAATACAACTATAAATCAACACACAAAAACTAAAAGGGATGGAGAAAGATGTAGTGCATAAATTGTTCATAATGATCCAAATAAACTTTATTCATAAACAGTTTAAGTCATCCTATAAAGATTTTCTAGAAACTAAAAGTTAATAGTAAAAATATTAAATGGAGGATTTTCAATGTAAAAATCAATCTTTGCTAAAAAACTAAAAAGGGATGGAAAAAGATATTATGGATAAAATTATCCACAGTAAACCAAATAAAGATAACCCATAACCAGTTCAAAGATAGCTATACCGATTTTCTAATAGTAAAGAGAAAGTCGTCAAAATATTAAAATGGAAGATTTTCACTAAAAATTCCAACATCACTCAAAAAGTAAAACAGATAAAAGAAAACGTTATGGATGAAAATTGCTTATAATAGGTTAATAAAACCTCATCCATAATCAGTTCCAGATAAGTTGTACAGATTGTCTAGGAACAAGGCGAAAATCAACAAAATTTCGAAATGGAGGGTTTTCATTAAATTTATTAATCGTTATTCAAATACTAATACCGATGGAGAAAAACATTTTGAATGAAAATTGTTTATAATAAACCAAACAAAGATAATCCATAATCAGTCCAAGATGAGCTGTAACGATCTGCTAAATATAAAGAGAAAATCATCAAAATAGAAGATTTTCATCAGAATGATCCATAACCACTCAGATAAACCAGATACAGAAAAACGTTATGCTTGAAAATTGCTTATAATAAACCAATAAAAGCTCATCCATAATCAGTTTCAAATAAGTTACAAAAATTGTCTAAGAACAAGGCGGAAATCAACAAATTATCAAAATGGGCAGTTTTCTTTCGAGAAATCCATCGTTGCTCAAGAATTAAAACCGATGGAAGAAACTGTTTTGTATGAAAGTTGTCCATAATCAACCAAACAAAGATAATCCATTTTTACTTCGAAATTGGCTGTTATGATTTTCTAAAAACAGAACAAAAAACGTAAAAATATCAAAATGGAAGATTTTCATTATAGTAATTAATCATCACCCAAAAAGTATACTATTAGAGAGAGAAAAACGTTAAGCATGAAAATTGCTTACAATTAACCAATAAAACCTCATAAATAATCAGTTCCAAATAAGTCATGGAGATTGTCTAGGAACAAGACGAAAATCAACAAAATATCTAAATGGATTGTTTTCTGTAAATTAATAAATCATTATTCAAAAACTAAAATCGATGGAGAAAAAGGTTTTGTACGGAAATTGTTCATAATAAACCCATAAATCCTTATGTACAATCTATTCAAGAGTATCAATTACGATTTTCGAAAAGCAAAGAGAAAATTACCGAAATATCACCATGAAAGGTTTCCACAATAAAATTCCAACATTATTCAAAAACTAAAACCGAAAAAGAAAAATATTATACATGAAAATTGTTCATAATTTACTAAACAAATATAATCCATAATCAATTCAAGATTAGTTACAAGAATTTTCCAAACATAAAGCCAGAATGGCTAAAATATCAAAATGGGAACTTTTTTTAGTAAAGAGACCATTAAATGATGGTCAAAAAAGTTAGGCATAAATATTCTTTATAATTAATCAAAAGAATGTAATCCATAAAAAAGAAATCCATGAAAATCACTTGATCATGTTGCTGTAAAGCATTGAGACGACTTATAACATTGAGAAGACAAAACAAGAAAATAAATTTAGTAAGAGTGGTAATTATGAAACACTTTTGTCTAGTGAACTAATCGATGAGTGATAATATATTTTATGTAACACCTATGTAAAGTATATATCTATATGGTAACTAAATTTTCTATGAAACATCTATGATTATCTACCTATGAAAAATTTACATTTTGTCTTAGTTTATATTGTAACAAACCATGGTTTTTTATTGAAGACAAACATGGTATATAGAAACTTTATTTTGAATAAACTGTGATGAAATCCTTTCTTATTTTGCATTAAGGTGCCAAGTGTTAGTATACAGTTATATAGCAAATTTAGAAGCAGCAAAACCAGAAGGTATCAAGCAAAACCAATTTGTCATTGGTTCAATAATTCTTTCCACTACACTCCTAAATTATCTATTTTGATGATCCCTCAGGTTGCTTACCAGCATAAATCAAGATATAGACGGGTTTTAGTAAATATTATCTAATTTTCAGATATTTCAATAGTTTATGTTCAAGTATTCTGAAGAAGTAGACTCGTTTCAGCAATCCATGTGCGAAGCTGTAGGTACTGATGTTAACTCTATATATTTAAGTTTTCAGAAACCAATATGCTAGGATTGTCAGATATATACCATATCCAATAGTTTTTGAAGTCACTGTTCTTCGATGTCCATATTGCCTAAACATACCCTAATTTATAGAATCAATCTTACAAACTAATTTCCCAGAAATGTACATTCTAGGGTCATTAGAATGTAGATTGATCTCAGCAATCAAGCTGCCCCATCGTTCTCTAAAGTGTACATTCAATTATTGCCAAGGTGCAAACTGATTTCAGCAAACAATACGCTATTTTCAGAAAATCAATAACCCAGTATTCTCAGTACGAAGACTTTTTAGCAATAAATATGCCATTATATTCCGTAGTCGATTACGATATAATCGTATATTTAATTAACATATTAAAACAAATAAATGATTAAAAGTTTATCTATTTTTTAATAAAATTATCAAATAATTTTTTGTTATCTTGGATTGGTTCCCAATAAACAAAAATCAAATCCATCCAATTTAGGAGTAAATCATTATTAAAATAAATTTATATTTCAACAGAAACAAAAATACGTGCAAAATCACACGTATTCTATCGATAAATAAATATCAATAAAATACAGTTATACAGTTACATCGCGAATACGATGAAAACTCTGATTCTCGGTATTAATTTCACAAAATGCATGCATATGAGCAATACT